GCAAGACTGACACAACGTCGTATATTTAAAACAATATTTCGGCTGGCCTCAGGTTTAGATGTTACTAAATTATAGAAATAAAATTACAATATTACATAACGGTGCTGATGTTTGTCCTGTTTTCAATAGCTGTTTCCTTCATTAAAAGTTGTTCGTTTGGTTATATAAGTTCATTAAGGTTGACATTCTCATCAAAGCTTACCATGGTCACTTTCCAGCAAACAAATGCTCATCTCCTGGTCATGTTTAACGCCTGGATGAGTTACATGTAAATGCTCATGAAATTCAGCCTTCATGTTGACCATAGTACTAATTTGTCAACTCCACTTCAATTTAGCGAAACACCTAATGGTTGTACAAAAGCTATGATCTTCAATTCGGGCTGGCACGATGCAGGCTTTGAGTAGTAATTGCGCAAACACAATAATGACTGCACGGTTACTATTTCAATATGGCGTTGGGCTCGGTTTGTTCAGCGTGTGGTTTCACAATTTTTTTTTCCAGTTATGTTTTAACAAACTATACCTCATGACTGTACCCAAGATTGTAGAAATTATGTACGCAATATATCAGGGACTTTCGAAGAGACAATTATGCAAGGAATATTGTGGAATAAGAGTAAAAAAACACATGTACTTCCTCCTTCTCTCAGCAGAGTAATAACCTGGCTCGTGCCTGTGATTCAATTGAAAACCAGTGCCTGGTCAGCGGTCAACTTCCAAAAAACACATGACCTCGATGAGCTCTTGACCTGAGCCCCTGATATTGTAACATGATACTGGTCAGCAGATATCTTGTTTTGGCTGCTGTCAATTAATCATAACATGGATATCCAATATCAAATATGAAGCTATGGTAATGATGCTACTCTCTTAGTTTTCAAGGTATGGGGCTTACAGTACGGACGTACGGAGAGCCACATGACAACCGAAATTTTTGAGATCGATCGGTTACCAGATTTTCTAAGGTATGGGGCTCTGCTCGCATGCCTTCAGCACGCAGGAGCTCTGCTATGAAGTATTCAATAATATCTTTTGCATTTTCACTATAACAATTAAGTTTTCACGCTGACTGAGAATGATGGCAAAAATATTTTACTTTTCCATACCATCCAGTAAATATCATATCCTCCAGGGCTTACATTACAATGCCATGATTTCAAAAGTCACTGGGAATGGTAATGTAATAATTTGTCATAACTATGAAATAAATTATTGCCTTTAAACACTCATTTGGAGGTAAACTTCACCTTGTGAAAAAAATCAATGTGTTTAAACGTTTTTTTTAACCCGTTTAAACAGTGTTCAGTCTATTCCACAGGAAACTTTCTGTTTTAGAAAACTGTCAGCAACCTGTCCGTAGCCTGTTGGTGGCTTGTTGGTGGCGTGTTAGTAACCTGTTGGGCAACATTTGACTGACAATCAGGTTTGGGAGCTCTTCTTCAGAAATACCCTTTTATGTGTTTTTCAGCATTGTCATGTAGTCAGAGTTTGCTGGTCAAACAATGGACTACTTCCATTAGAGATCAGTTTCTAGCTGAAAGAAGTCAATTTTTTCTCATGCTCTTGAAAGTAGATCCATCCCTGACATTAAGAAGTTGTCTCTGAATTATCTGGTCATTGTGGCTCACTGGAAATTGAAAAGAGCTCACATTTCTATACATTCAGTAGATTTACTTCTGAAATATTGTTATTTTTATTGACTGGCAATCAGAAGGAACTTGTATCTGTATCCGTTCAGTACATTTACTGTTTGAAATTGTAAAAATGTGTGATGCCAATTGTTTCTACCCTGTTAAACACATTTGTACATTATGACAAAGTACTGCCCATTGCCTACTCTCAGCATTCACTTAATTATTTGAGAATTTTGTAACCGCCAGTTCTCGAATAATTATTTATTGCTGATAAGGTAGAGAGCTTTACACACTTCTCCTGTGCCTAAAACTCATCTCACAACCACTCTACAATGTAACTTGTTACTATATGTCTTAATTATGGTAAACAAATGATTCACTTCTACAGTGCAGCTCAGATACAAGTGAACCAAAATATACACATAATTCGCATCAGCTGAAAACGTGTAAAAGCATCTGCACATAAGCATAATTATTATTTTAAATTTTGAGCATGGTGTTTTGATTTTGTTGAAAATTCATAGTAAAAGAATGTTCAGTCATTTTCTTATCATCAAGTAAATATACATGCATTAAATTTACTTGATGTTTATACTGTCAGATTGAGCTTACTGTTCATGAATTTTACACTCTAGCCTGCTATTTAGCGTTACATATTTTGTTTCGCCATTGAACACCAACACTGTGCACATGGCCCTTTGATATTGATATTGAATGAATGATGTGTGTCAAATAGAGCCAGAGACATTTTTTTGACAAGGATCTTCGGAAAGCTTCAGACAATGAACCCAAAATTCCACAGCCACTTGCCAATGTGTGCCAATACACAGAACTTTTCCTTGCAAAAAAATTAACTAAACACGAACGACATGCCAAAGAGACTTTTATAAACAATTCTTTGGTTAAAGAAAGAGTATTTTACGCTTTAAATGGATGGTTAGTGTCAAGTAAAATTGGAATATCATTTTTTCGACAAGGATCTTCAGAACACTTCAGGCAATAAACATTTCGTAGCAACTTGACAACGCATGCCAAAACAAAGAACTTTTCCGTGAAGAAAACATAACTAAACGTGAGCAGTGCACCATAGAAACTTTGATCCCTTAATTAAAGAAAGCATATCTGACCGTTTGAATGAATTACTTGTGCCAAATAAAACCATTTTTTGACGAAAGACCAAGTCTGAACTATGATAGCTTTTATTGACGTTTCAACAATATGCAAATTTGGCTTTGAAGTCTGGCGCTTTTTCATTCCCAGAAACGTCCTTTGTTTGACCAACAATGCTTTACATAAAGAAACTTATGGGAATGCATAACAAAGAGACATACGTGTGTATAGGTATGCCCATATATACGCATATTGACATACGCATATTGACATACGCATATTGACATACATGTATACACAAAATACGCGCATATAAATTGCGTGTGTGTAGTTCAATTCTATCTGAGCTGCACTGTACTTTTGCCAAGTTTTGTGAGTTGAAGTAGAGTAATTTCAACATCTTGTGCCATAAAATTCTCAGCAACTTAAACTCTATTTTTGAGGAGCCCGACAAAGAATTATAATAAGTAATATATATGAACTGAATCAGATGTAGTGTAGAAGAGAGATGAGAACAGTCTTGAAGCCGGTGAAGCCTAATATTACACAAACCATTTCACGAAAGAAATGCAGCCTCTAATTAAGGATAGAACAAGATGATCAAGAAACCTATAAATGACAAGGACAAATGTAAATTAAATGGTGTTTGACACTTGCCCACCTAGGAATCACTTCTTCATTGTACAGGTACATACAAGGATGAATGAAACCAAGCCATTAAAGCTGTATGTAGGTAAAGGACTAATTCACTTCTACTCACAGAAGTGGCCCCAGTTGCTTGAGGGCTGGATAAGGCTATCCACCAGATAAATCACTATCCAGTGGAGAAAATATTTGCTTTTTTCATTGTTTTTGTAGTAATACTATATGACTCTGTAATATTTAAATCAAATCGAAGGTCAGTTACATGCGCAATATCAGACTCAAAAAAATAAATGTCTTATAGAATATTGGTTTATTATCTATACAAATGTCTTTGTTATTCCATATTACAGGTGTATATTGTGCCATGGTTTCTCTGCAGAAAAATATTTTGGTATGGGCAGGTCTCAGACACTCTGTACCGTCCCACTTAATCTCAAAATCCAAAACAAATAATCGCACCTTTTGAACAATGCCACCCTCTCTGATTATTGAAAACAATGTTTTTGATATTCTCATAAAAAAATCAAAAGACTATTATACAATGCTAATAAGTAAAAAAGCACAATTTTATAATAATTCTTTAGTTCTGAAATGCAATTTTAACTTAAATGAGGATCAATGAAGAAAAGACTAGTGTTTCTTCTGCCACATATTGTGTGTTCTGAGTCTTATGTTACGGCCTTTTAATATAAGGTCCTTAACTTTATTCTATATACCAATACCAAATTACATAAGATAGGATACATTACAGACGACAAATGCTCTTTTTGTAAGTCTGAACCAGAAACACTATTGCCCCTTCTTTTTAACTGCGTATACTCAAAGCTTTTCTGGAAAGATTTTGAATTTTACTTTTACTCTCTATCAAAAGAATTAATTTTATTCATCTTAGTTTGCGAGATGTAGTAATAGGCATTATAACCTCAGAATGCCCCTTACTAAATTATTTCTTGTTCATAGCCAAACTATATCTATGGGATTGCAGAAGATCTCAAATACTTCCAAGCTTAGCTGGGTTTAAGATAAAGATCAAAATTAAATTTGAAATGGAAAAATATATTATATGCACTAAGAACAAACTTTAGATCAATTTATTAAAAAATGGGGGACAAGTTGCCCTGTGTAAAATAACTGTATTCTAACTATTTATTGTATTGCTTCCTTTGTAACTTTCTATGGCCTTTGTGATTGTATTTTAACATAAATGTATTGTACAGTATGTTTAAGCTAGTATTGTAAGTTATGTAATGATATTGTAAGTAATGAATTACATGGCTTAATTAGGATGTTGTGTTTGTAAGTAATGTTTTAGTATTGGTAGTTGTTGTAGTATTGTAAGTAGTGTGAGTACTCTTAATAAAATTACAAAAAAAAAACAAAAAGAAAAAAAAACTATCCAGTGGAGAAGTGTTATCTGCTAAATGGAGATTTATCTGGTGGATAGCATTATCCACCTTTTGAACAACCTGGGCCAGATGACCTTCATTCGTCAAGAAGCTGTTAACGGCAATAAAATACATTCCTGCATAATCACAAGATCTACATTGTAGCTTATAAGTTTTTTTTAGCAAAAACAAAGTTAACAGAAAAACAAAACAAAAATAGTTACCTAAAAGATTTTCATGACGTAACATGGTTGTCTGATAAATCTCTGCTTCACGAAACCATGAACACTCATCACGGGATGAAAAGATCTTTACTGCAACACTCTGTCCTCTCCATACCCCTTTGTAAACTTCCCCAAAACGGCCTTTACCAATAAGCCCTACCAAATGAATTTGTCTTGCAATAGTACGCTGGACCAGCAAAGGTAGTCCAGAGCCACTCCCTACAAAAGTCAAAACAAAATGGCTGTAAATAATAAATTACATAGGTTTTTCTATACTAAATGTAATACTAGAGTAAAGAAAATGACACTAACTTTATAGTATTTGTGTATCGTAATATTGTGTTTATCTAGTGCCAACTAAAACTATGATTACCACGCTAATCAAAAAAGGTTTAGCATGGTAACATCTTCGAAACAAATTGTTGCGTCCATCATTGTGCTAGGAATTAAATATGTGCATAAAACGTGTCTTAGGACACACTAAGCATCCTGTGTTAGTCTGTTGTGAGTGTGCTACCACCTTTTCCCTGTCTTCCCGTGGAGGGTCACATATTATCCAGCAAACAAGTTTTTAATAAGAGTACATAGTCCCTGGGAAATACATGGCTGCCTAAAAATTACCACTGACTTGTGGGTTCCACTGTGTAGCAGAGAGTCAGTGGTCATGAGACAGACAACAACTTGCAAGACATGTATCTTACCACCTATTTGGTCTAACATAATTTTTGTAAACAACTTCAATCAATAAGAATTAATAAAATACAAAAAAACAAAAATTTCATCCGTTTTGTAACGGTAACTTTTTTTGGTCAGTTCTGAATTCATAGATACTGGGTTCGTGATCAATTTTACCTTTTCGGCTATATAGTCAAACATAGGCACACAAGGCGTGCAAGAATTATTTTTTGTGAAGTCTTGGAGATAGGAGCATTCATGGAACTGTTTACAGTAATGACTGAGTTAATTTGACACGTTTCTTTGGTTGCGATGTACAGCAAGAGAGAAACTGGGAATTTATGCTGTACATACAATGTTACATGGTTAATGGTAAGATAACTAAATAGTCTGCCATAAAATGTTTGACTGAACAAGCTACAGCAATCTTACATGTCTCCAGATTAATGTAGATACCTTCTTATTTTCTAACAGGCAATTTGATTCGTTCTTTGATACAACCCACAGTGTGATTTGTGTGACACGCACACACCGATCACATAGCCCTTCCAACCACAAGAGTAATTTTTGCTCAAATATAGTCAATTTAAGAGAACTTTTCGCATTTTATACAAATC